GGAGCCGGATACTTCAGATAGTGGGTCGATGGCGAGCGGTGCCCATACCCGTGGCGGTGGCCCCCTTCCTGGTGCACGCAGCACTAAGCCTGCTGGGAATGTTGCTGTAAGGCCGCTTCCTGATCTGAAGGAAAATGTCAAACGTGTCATGTTCTACTGCTAAGTTTGGGAATATTTGTGTATGGGGGAAAACGTCTGACGGTTTGAGTCGCCCCCTGTTATCTAAGACGGAACGACCTATAGTGTGTGTACGTTAATGATTGTGGTGCTGTGAACTATCGACCATGATCTGGTTGTTTATCTATTATCAACACTAGAAGTTGAGGATTCTAGACTCTTTCAGTGTGGCTACTCAAATCATATCGTCGAAGAAATGTAATAATTGACAATTACATTGCTGCCATGTTTCCAGGACAAGCTGATCTCAGCTACTGCGGTTCCTTTCCACTTGTTGGATGCGCACCTTGATTCGCAAGGATTATTAGCCTTTTGTCTCGGACAAAATTATTGCTTAGTTGGCTCCTGGTACATAGAATCTAGATTTGCATTAAGCAGTTTAGCCCACTTTTGCTCAAATAATGTCAAGGTTGAAATAGTTGTTTGATGGTAGACAGCTCTAAGTATGATTGCTTTCATTTTTATTCTTTTTTTCCAAAGACATACATTCCAAATAGTTTGTCTGAGCATGCAGAGCAACTATCCTATACAGTGCCACAGGACATTTTCCTAGTCAACATGTAATAGTTCTGTACCTGAGCGCTCTACACTAGCTATGTTGCTTTGCTACATCTACCTACACGGCAAAGGCATGGTATATTCTACTAATTTATTCCAGCCGCTCGTCCAGACAGACCCCTACCTGGTACAAACCCAACACCTGCTTTGCACCCACGGCTGGAATTGTTTCTGAAGTTTTCATGAGCATAACACCAAAACGGCCTACAGAAGAAGCCACAGCGATCACACAGCTCCCTTCTCCTGCACTATGATTTGCTTACTGGAAAGCTATATGTTAACCAGCATATATTCACACATTGGATTCTCCCGGCCATATGGCCCTCAGAAACTAGAACACGCCCGTGACCGTGGGCGATATATTATAGTAGTATAGATGCGCAATTATCAGCCGGTGGCTATAGGCGAAGGATCTCGCCGTGCATCCAGGCCAAGGCACGCTGCGACAACGCTACAAACAAAACAGGCGCCACATCAGCAGCAGTGCAGATGTGTGTGTGCAGAGTTGTTAACCTGGCACAAGCTAATGACAAGTGTTAGGTGAGCAAAAGCTTTCTACAGGTTCATGCAGTTAGTAAAAAGGAAGTTTAGCAACAGCTTAATTTGTTCCCGGCAGTTGGGCTGGGCAATGTAATTATAATTTGGTTCTGTAGCTCTGAGAGCTTCCAGAACACTAACACAGAATTGCAATCACCATAATTATTGTATAGTACATTGCGTACTGCTTCTAGTACAAAAGGTACAGCATATCCATCATTTTCCTGAAGATCGATTAGACATTATGAGGGCCATTACAAACGTCCGATGATATCCATGATTGTTTCACTTAAGTACACACAAGTGCATTAGTCATTAAGGACAAACAATTTATCAAGCAGAACTCTTCTAGCTGTCTGCTATTATTCTAGCATGCTGTTTACACAAGACTCTACTCTTTTGATCTTTTTATCCTTCCGTTTGAAAGCATATATGGTACCAACTGTATACTGTGCCAAATCTTAAGCTCGTCATCATCTGTATCATTAGTATTCTGTCACGGACACGACACATACAGGCAACACGACGCCACTAGGTGGCCTGTGGCGACAGACGATCTCGAAAGGTCGCTTTCACCAGCTACCAAACATTCACTTGTTTTCCCTCAGAATTATCATCAGAATGGAACGCGAGCTTCGTGCAAGCAAACCCTATAAGTATATATTAACTTGGGCGCTACCCTTTAATTACCAACGAAAAGTACGTGCAGAGATCGCCATCGAGGCTTGCAGATTGTTGACTAATTAATTTTGCCGTCTAGGTGCTGAACTTTTTTAATGCACAAATGGAATTAGGGACGTACTCATGCATATGTATATGCCCTACTTTATAATTAAGAAGAGAATGTACTCGAGGACTTTGTCTAATTCCGTTCTCCTGTGAAATATCAACGTCGATCGAGGCAGGCATGTACCGAACGATCGAACACCTTGTCCCCCCACCACGGGGAATCATCGCTGTCACGTCCTGTATACGCCCTGCGTCACACGGTTGCCGTAGTATGCAAGATAGCGATAGGAACCACGGTTTTTTCATTTTTCTCCTTGCCCTCTCTTCAAAACCTAATTGAGGAGTGCCAGCGAAGAGCTAACCGGCCTCTATCTTGAGCAAAATCTCATCGAGATAAATTCAAAATCTGAACAAAATTTTAATTAAATTTGAATATATGCACTTTCTTTGACCGGTTGAAAGAAAAATACCAGGAGTACTCCGAGACAGTGAGATCACATTATAGAGAAACCAATCAACGGTATGATGAACTAGTCTAGTTGGCAAATTAAGTTGTGGATAACATCTCACTAGATACGCTTTCGCTATTTTATGGATAAAGCTGTAAGGTTGCTAGCTCGCGGACGCCACAACAAGCAGCCAATCATTTGTGGCAGTACCAAGCCCAGACGTACGATCACCCATCATTTACTCTACGGTTCATCCGTGGAAAATGAACAACGCAATAAAACTAAAAGTTATTATGGGTAAAATTTGTATATTAATTTGTGTTCTTAATTAGCGATTTAAAAGGTAATGCATAAAAACAAACACAATAAAAACAACTCTAAAATAATTAGATTTATTTTTTTTGCATAACTGATAAGCTAATTAGAGACAAATGATAGAGCTAGCCGCCAAACTCGTCATTGCATGACCATGAGCTATATATTCTTCTTAGTTCCCCTGCTCGCTACATATATAGCCAAGTGTATGCGAGAACCTATCAAGTGCCCTCACCCCAAGCAAAACCTTCATGTCAGAAGAATTTCCCGCTTGGCGTGCTGTCTTTGAGGTTGTTGCAAAACACTCTTTGAAACTTAAATCCCAAGTTGAAAATCGGAATCATTCAATTTTCATTTGGACCAAAAAAAAATTCGAACATTAATTAGTTGAGTGATGCGCTATGAGACAGAAGTCAAACATATAATTGAGAGGGGGAATTAATATATAGGTCGAAAGTGGCTCTAGTTTTTAATAATTTGACCAGATCTGCACAGAAAGCACCAACTTTTTGAGAATTAATTGAGGCTATGAAATCCACTCAATTTTGAAATACTTCAAATCCCAAATAATATTAAAATTAATATATAGACCATATAATTCTCTCACAATTTTTCAGAAAAGGATAATGGTTTGAAATGTTATTTCCAGGACTTAAAAATCACATTTCATATTGATCAATCGCATATCTATTATAACTTTTCAATGGTTTTATATATATCTCATATACATGTAACCCAATCGTTATCCCAAAATATTTAATAACTTAACAACGTTGGCTAGATTTGTACTAGGTGAAATCAATTATATATGTTCCAATGTAGAAAGTTATAATTGCAGTTTTGAATGATGTGATCATTAATGATTTATATGTTTATTACAAATTTATAAAAATACTTTGAAATTGTAGTATATAAGATAGGAAATCTCAAGCTATTTTAAAGCAAATTGAGGCCCTGATTCTTTTTCTTTTGATTCACATAATCCGGTTTCTGGATTGTGATTTTTAGAAGTTCTTAAATTGATTGTGGATTTGGAAATAGTCGCAATACTCGCCGTGAACATCATTACCCAAAATCCACAAATAGCTCAATATCCTGCTTTTGGATTTTAGAAGAAAAAAAACAGGATTTGATTTTGCTAATCTGTTTCCGGAATCAAGCTATTTGTTTTTCTTCAAAATTAATTGTTGGGGCAGAATCAAAAACAAAAAATGAAACATGGCCTGAGTTGGGTGATGATTTCTACTGGTGCATTTTTATTCAACAACACTTTAGATCACACTCATGCACCGCCCTCCTGTTTTCAAGAGATCCTTTTGGTGCAAGTTATCTAGGTGTTAACATAATTTATCAATCTTACAAAATCACATATATAGGCGCACACACACGGGTAAAAGAATATCATACTAACTATATAAAAATGAAAATGAGTCGCAAAATAATTAACCCCTTGAATATATATATGTATATATATATTTTTGAGAATTACACAGTACAACGCACGCACACTCACCCCATGAACGCACGCACGTAAACCCTACCCCTATGAGCATCTTTGAAGACTGGACCGGCAAATCCTGGAGATTGACGAAGTCACCACAGACGTCTCGCTGTCAACGGGTACATCGCCTACCACTAAAAACACAAAGCCGTTAAATACTGGAAACCACTAGGTTACAGGCCCTTTTGCAACCCCTTGAATATATTGGAACAATTACCTAAATGTAGTTGCAGGAAATGGAAAAAAAAAAGGTTGGAATCATTTTTTATTAAGTTTGTTTATCCATCCCGTATATATATAATGAAAACAATAGTACAAAGATAAAAAAAATCGATTATAATCAGGGAGAAAAATAAAAATATATTAGCTTTGTTTTCTTTCTTGTTCTTCTTCAGGGATTATGGACCTGTTTTAGGAAGCTTTTTGGCGAATTGTAGCTACTTCAAGAATCTCCAGCTAGCTCCCAAAACAACCTAAATTATTCGTCTTGATTGTGAATGTTAGTAGCTATAGATAGAACCCAAGAATAAACTAGCAAAAAAAGTTATATTGGAAATTGTAGCTATATACCTTCGAAATAAACTAGCAACAGAAGTTATAGAAAGATCTAGTAGTTTCTCATCGGCTACTTTTTAAAATTTCGAGCTCAGTAAACATAACCCATCTATATTAGCAACACAGCCGACACGTTGATGACATAATTAACATGAAACGACATACACCACAACATGGACTATATATCATGATTAACTGCATTAATTGCAAGAACAATATTTTTGCTCTAGAGGGTTAACTGAATGACTGAAAGAGGACAAAAAATAGAAAAGATCAGTAGGGTAATTAAGTCTCATTATCCCCCACAGACCTATAATTCGTCTGACAGAAAAGAAAGAAGAAGATAATACAGTCTCATTGCAGTTATCCCTGATCCAGTACAATTAACCCAATTACATTTAGCAAGACCTATTCTTTCAAATGAAATTTAGCAATAAGATCTATCAGGAACAGAATAGTATATTGCAGTAATAACGCCTAACTTCAGCTCAAGTCTCATGATTCCTGTTGATCTAGCTTCATCATGCATTAGTAGGAGTCTAGGAGAAGCTCTTCTGCTCACCATGTCTCTCGCTAAGATTGTATCATCATCAAAGCTGGCTTTATCCTTTTGCATGGATGCATGCAAAAACATCTATCACATGTGTCACAAGTCACAGCATTGTATTGCAACCTGCAAATCAACAACTTATTCCTGCCATGCATGTTGATGCCAACGTGCCACGTATATATGCTTAAGAGATCATTGCATCCTGCCTCCGTTGAAGGACGACGACGCCGACTTCATCTCGGCCTCCAAGGTGCCATGCATGTCGCTGCCGCCACCGCCATGGTGCTCCCCTCTCGCCATCGACATCCCCCTCATGAAACCGCCGCCGCCGACGCCGAGGAAGTCACGCGTCACGTCGCCGTCGCCGCCGCCGCCGCCGCCGCGCTGCAGGCTGAACTTCACCTCGTGCTGGTCCATGTCGTACAGCCTCGGGTCAATCATGCTGCCACTCCCAAACATGCCCTGGTGGTCGGCGTTGCCACCGCCGGCGAGCGAGTTCATCAGGCTCTGGAGGTGCATCTGCCCCTGGTCGACCATGGTCGTCCCGCGGCCGTGCGGGATGGACGACGGCGCCGACGAGCCGGCGAAGCCGCCGCCGAACACGGACGCGCCGGCGCCGTTCGCGCTCGACGTGCTCGAGCCCATCTGCGCCGCCTTCTGGAGCAGCGCGGTCGCCGACATCTGCGGCAGCATCATGGCCTGATCATTCGCGTACATCCCGGCAGGAGAAACCTGGTGGTGGTCGCCGCCGGAGAAGTTCCCACCGGCGCCGAACAGCGCCGCCGCCGATGTCTCTGAACCGCCGCCGCCGCCGCCACCACCCCCTCCTTCGCTGAACTGGTCGGTGTTCGTCATCTGTCCCTGGCTCGCGTGGCCATGGCTGGAAGTACCCGAGCTGTTCGCGCTGTTGGCGATGTAGCCGAGGTTGTAGAGACCCGGACCCGACGGCGACGGCCCGCCGGTGCCATTCCCTTGGAGGTCAGGGAGCTGCATGAGGCCATGGAACGGCTTACCCTGCAAGAATCCGTGCGGACCACTGCCGTCGCCGCCGTCGCCGAACCCCTGCGGCGCCGCGCCGAGGAGGAACGGCGCCGGAGGCTGCTGCTGCGGCGGCGGCAGGGGCCGGAACGCGGAGGCGCTGGACGACGACAGGAGGTGCTCGAGGCGTGCAGCCATGGCGCCACCGCCGCTGCCGCCGAAGCGGAGGAGGTCCGGGGAGGCGCCGTGATGGTGGTGGTGGTGGCCGTGGTCCTGGAGGGTGGAGGCGAGGTGGGAGCCGACCTGGGAGAGGCTGAGCGCCATGTTGGCGGCGCCGGCGGAGCCGTAGAGGTGGCCGGCGGCGGCGGGTGGCAGCCGCGCGCTCTCCTGGGCGAGGGCGTCGCAGAAGGCGCGGTGGGTGATGAAGCTGTCCCTCCTGCATTTGCATGGACGACGACGGACACATGCGATGTACCATCAAACTGATCACTGTCCGTGCGGCACAAGTTTGCACGTGAAATTGTACGACGCAAAAGTGAAGATAACTCGAAGGACAGTGCATGTCACTACAGTATCGGGTACTGATACAGAAATCACGTGAAGTGGTGCTCATCAGCTAGACAGCTAGATGCAAAATTTTTGCTGTGTCATCCGTGCAAATGTAGTAGTACTCTCTCTATTTTATACGGTAAGTTATTTGATTTTTTTTCCCTCGTCAATTTCTTTTAAATGTATAGAAAAATTTAGCGACATCTAAAATATCAAATTAATTTTATTAAATCTAACATTTGATATATTCTAATAATATGTTTATTTTTTAAATACTATTATATTTTTCTATAAACTTGGTCAAAATTAAATAAGTTGACTAGAAAAAAACAAAAGACTTATACAATTTTGTTGTATTTTTAGAACTCAATATGCAAACAATGTCAAATCAATATCTCCACATTATTTTTACATTATTTAAACATATACATTACCATTTCTATGATATATAACATGCATTCATCGACATATTCCGCAGCAAAAAGCGGTGTATCGACTAGTTTACTATATATTGGAAAGAAGGCATTGATCATATCGATACTAACAACTAAGGCTGCGTTCTTTGTGATGAGTTCTGGGGGATTGGGTGAGAAAAGGACATCGTATTCCGCGTGCACGCTTCCCAAACTACTAGACGGTGTATTTTTTGTAAAAATTTTTTATAGGAAAGTTGCTTTAAAAAATCATATTAATCCATTTTTAAAATTTAAAATAGTTAATACTCAATTAATCATGCGCTAATAGCTCACCTCGTTTTGTGTATCTTCCCAATCTTCTCAATCCCCCTCTCCTCAAACTCTCAAAGAGAGTTGAGAAAATAGTATTTTTATTCTAAACTCTTAGAAGGATGTCCCATAATTGTTTGCATGTCACTCAAATAGTCTAGTTGTTTTTTTTAAAAAAATGAAAAGATATATTAATATGGGATATATCACTCCACAAACATGAAGCTCAAATTCGACTTCTATATCTCACAACGAAAAAAAATTAAATTATAGCTAGTTAATGCATATTCATGGTTAAATTTATTTTTTTTCGTTACGACATGTAAAAGTTGAATTTTAACTTGCATGTTTGTGGAGCGATATATCACATATTAATACATCTTCTCATATTTTATTTAGATTTTTTTCGTAACTATTTGAATTGCATGCAAATAACGAGGGGATATCCTCTCGAGAGTTTAAAATCCACTCCCGAGAAAATGATTATTTTTCTCTAATCAATTGCATGTTAAGCACAACAGTACAGAAATCCATGCAAAAAAGCACTATAATAATTAGATGCAATGTGTATTCAAGAATTATATATTTGCATCTTTTAGGAGACGTAGTACGTACGTTCCATTCTTGCCTTGAACCGATAAGATTCCAAGTTCCATACACAGGACGACCATATATTTGTACGGAAAAAGTTACAAGCTGGAGTACTAGCTAGTACAGTAATTGGCAAGGATGCATGAATGTGTGTACACTGTGCGTATGACTTGAGGTGGGTACGAGAAATAATGGTCGTCTAAACAGTAGAACTGTGTGATATACTATCGTTGAAATATCTTTAATTCTTTCTTCTACAAGTAAGTGAATTTTATCTATTGCGTGTAACAACTCCTACTGTTAGTATTCCGAAAAAAAAAATCTTGGGAGAAGTATTTTAAGCTATATTAAATCAAGAATGTGTGTCGTGCGCGCCCTCGTTTCATGTATGAAATCTAAATAGTTATAAGCTAACAAGATTTGGCCATATAGATTATGCCGTCACATGCATGTATTACTGTACAGACATCCACGACCAAATTCATTTACATCAAAGAAAAAACAAACCTAATTAACTATGAAATTAAAGTAGTGTGTGTGTGTATTTCCCGCAGTTATATTTTTTCCCACTTGTTCAAATTAAGTTTGAACATACATATTTGTAGGGTAACTATATGACAACCCAATATACGTTATTAATGTTTTATTGATTATGTAAGCGACACGCAAAAGGAGGGCAATGACCTTCTTATTTTAGAATGACCTTTAAAGGCTCAAAATATGTACAACTTCTACCAAGGTGCAGATAAATGCCTAGCGACCCCGGGTAGCTCCTAGGCCACCCAGGGTTGTCAATGAATCACATTTTTATAATGTCTTGTATTTGAAGTGTTCAATAACATTGATATATAATTGTTCGTACTTGTGTTTGCATGTACTTTAAAAAATTATAAATCTTTTTTTTAGAAAAAAAATCTAAATCTACCAGTGATTCTACATGTTTTCAAGTGTGGGGTTGACTAAAACCTGTTCGTTTCATCACTTGACTTCTATCACACTCAATTGAAGCTCGAGATCCCAGAAACTCATGTCAATCAGGGATGAAAACGAGGAAAAGAGTAGGCAGATTGATATAGCATGGCGTCACCGATATATATAGGTTCTTAATTAATATATATGGTGCAAGAAGCTTCCAAGGAGAAAGGGCTGGGAAAAGAAATTCTACTACTAGCTAGTACTAGTAGTAGACATATTGGACATCGCCATGGTAGAGAGCAGTAGCACACGCACACGCCAACTCGCCCGGAGACATGAGAAGACTTTGTAAAAAGCTCATTTTCCAAGGAACCAAAGGGTGATCCAACAAGAATATATATGGATGAAAAAACACATGCAAAACTACAAAAGCCTACACATATATATAGGGCTAGGCCCCCATTGCATCAAAATTATTGATGCTAAGAACTCTGCATGCAGAGGTCATGCCATGAAGCCAGAGAGGAAAATGCTCGAGTTGTGAAAGATAGGGGTGAACACTTGCTGCTATTCTGGAGAGAGAGAGAGAGAGAGAGAGAGAGAGAGAGAGAGAGAGAGAGAGAGAGAGAGAGTCTGCAGTATGCGTGACACTGCTGCTAGCAAGCGAAGTTGCACCCATGTGACTCGTGAGATCAGATGTAAGGGCCTGGATCGGAGTATGCATGTATCCGAGGGAAATCTAAGCCGTGTGAAGCGTGAACCACAGGCTCTTCTGACACGTAAGGCCAACGAAAGGCCCTGCACCGCACATCTATCTAGCCGGCCAGCTCACACACATTCACATATCATATTCTGCATGATATAAGTTATAGTTTGCATTATATTATTTTTAGATATAAATAGAAAGTCGGCTCAATCCACGGGTGGATATACACAGCGAAAGACTATATATATCCATACTCTTCTATATGGCAGCTCAAAACAGATTAGCCAATTACGATCATATGGGGGTGTATAATGCAGACGTGTACAGCTCATTTCTTTTGTACAATTTACTCCTTCTATATTCAATAAAATTGACGGCTCGCTGATTCATTAAAATAAAAATATAGTGCAGACGTGTAGTGCCACACATATAAGCTTGTTTAATTATATTTTTATATATATGGACGACAATTTTTCTATTTACTAGTCCACTGGGATTTTGTTTCTTAAATCTTGGCCAATTGATCTATGAAGATCTTGATCCGACGATTCGACAAGTGGCAAGCATCTTCTACCTCTAGCCGACCGAGAGAGGTGCGAGGAAGAGAGGGAGGCAACAGGATGACTCACTAAGAACATCACTAGTGACTTCATTGGTAAGCCCTCTTGGCACCAGCGACATCCGAACTTCAGCTGCATGAGCTGTATATCATAGATGAAGCTATATATACCCCAATAATAACGCTATGGTGTGGATGGAGGATTTGATATGGAGAGGACAACTAGCTGGAATTTCTGGCGCCTTCCAATAAGGTGGAGATCGATCGAAGAGCTAGCGGAGGCGAGAGATGGATCAGGATTCCGGGCATCGAAGTGGTTTATTGCATCCCCAACAAATGTCCAATATTCTCCTCTAATAAATATCTTATTTGAAATCTCTAATAAGAATTTAAGGATATAAAATATACCTTGATCTCTATAACAGATAGTCTAAACTTAATTTCCTAAAATAAAAAGGGGCCCTTCTCTCCTCATGGGCGATCTCCCTCGCCCACCTTCCATGCCGCTATCTCGATAGCTCTCATCCCACGCATGATCAGTTTTTTGGGTGTGCCATTCCCTAGATGTGGAGAACGATAAAAACGGAGTTGGGGATGCTAAATTTTTTTTATCATCTCTACATGGGAATTGTTGGATCCTAATTTTCATAGAAAAACCCATCTTTTTATGGTTGGATTTTATTTAGGAGCATTGTCTTTTTTTAAGGAAAAAACTGTAGGAGAGTGTCTTACAGTGTATATTTAATTATTAACATTTAGAGAACTGTTGGTCATGCTCTTACATATGTATATATATATATATATATAGTTATTGCACGGATCTTGGAATAATTCTGACCGCTTAGATATTTCAAAATTCAGTTGTCTGATGAATAGACAGACAGCCCAACGAATTAAGAATGTGCTAGCTAGCTGTCGACGTTCCGGGCATATCGATCCCGAATTGGGGCCATGAATCAGTATAACACACGCGCACACATATATAAACATATCGCGTTTATTTGTGTGACTTGTAATATATATAGCATGAGGAAGAGACGGGAGGCCTTTTCAGCCAGGCTTGACGACGATGCATGCCAGCACAAGAACGCTTGGAAACATTTGCATCAGCAAGACAATGGCAAGATCACGTGCGAGCAGTAGCCCTAATGCTCTTCGCCCATACATATGCATATGCATCCTGCAGACCACGCGGTACGTACACGTGTGTACGACATCGATAATTCTTCTCCTCCCACTAGCCATTAACCCTCGTGAACAGATTAGTTAAAGTACTACACTATACCACCCAGACAAAACCCTAACCCCGGCCGAACGTGCATGCTGCCATTTTTGTGCGCACACTACTAAACATTCTTCGCTAGCTAGCACGCACACACATGCAACGTCTCATGCAGATGGAGAAATCAAGCTGCGAAAAACACCATACATATATACGTAGTAGAGAGATGGGTAGAGTGTGGGCTTACCGGGAGAAGAGGGTGCCGCAGTCGCAGCGGTACTCGCGGGTGCCGCAGATCTTGGAGTGGGCCTTCCAGTCGGACTGGACGGCGTAGCGCTTGGAGCACTTGTCGCACTTCCACTTCTTCTCGCCGTGCTTGCGGCAGAAGTGCTTCTTGATGCCGGTGAGGTCGCCGAGGGCGCGGGAGGGGTCGTGGTGGACGCACGTCGGCTCCGGGCACAGGTACACCCGGCGGCGCTGCGCCTGCAGCGGGTTCTTCTGCTTCAGCTTCCACGGCAGGTTGTGCCCGCGCCGGTGCAGCTGCAGGTTCTGCTCCCGCTGGAACCCCTTGTTGCACACCTCGCACACGAACCGGTTCGTCGCCAGCAGCGTCTTCGGCGACAGCGCTATCACCTCCGCGTCCGGGTCTGCGCATGCAATGCATGCAAGTACAGCTTATTAGTACTAGTGCAAAGTAGTATTAATTAGAAGATAGGAGTATATACATATGCATGCGCTGCACTACCTGATCAAAATGTTAGTTCAACATAAATATTAGATGCATATATGTGAATGGTTAATTTAGATCGATATATAGATATAGATGCACGGTGGTTTTAACATTATGTGGGGATTAGAAGAGAGAGAAATAAGGAGTACAGCTTGCCGCACTACTGATGACAAAACCAAATTGCAGTGTGGCTGATGATGACAAACGCATGCATGTTTCTTAACACGAAAGAATTTCCCAATCGGAGTAGATTTATGGTGATGAAGATCGGTTAGGCATGCAAGGATGATTTGTAATGGGGAGTAGTGATTTTTTTTCCTTTTGATTTTAGTAGCCAGGGACAAATTAAGGCAAAAAGAGAATATTTGCACGAGATTATGAAGGAGGGGGGGGGGGCAAAAGAGAATTAATTTTGCAGCAAGAGGCATGTAGGGAACAAATGAATTGACATTGCTCGTGCATATGTCATGGCCCGTATCTGCATCTCTCATGATTGGTAAGAGAAAGGAAGAGGCCAGCAAGGGTGAAGAGGAGAACAGCTCACGTACATGGAATCTTGCCCAAAAAATCTCTAAGATTAATTGATGATTAAATGATGGTGATTGTCTATTTGAATTAAGGAACTTTACTGCGGTAAAGAAATAATTAGGGGAACCAATCTATCTACTGAAAAATAAGTCTGATTTATAATGACATATGAGAAAAAAAAACAAAAAAAAAACAAGAAATCATTTTGTGCTTTGTACCTTCACCTGAACTGAGGACTATACTATTCATCCAGGTGAGACTACAAGCTTTAAATGAAGTAGTGCTGGGTGACTACAATCCAGGTGCGTAAGAAATTCATTGGACCAAGCTAGAGAAGAGAGAGAAATTAGAAACCGAAGAAGATATAGGACCATTTCATGTAATTTAAATCCAAGGGAACCAAATCTTGGACTCTATGCTAGCGTACAAATCCCTTCCAAAAAAGACATTATGCATGTGAATCAAAAATTTCAAAACCAAGAAAAAAAATCACTAGACAAACACGGTAAAATCGATACAAAAACCATGTGAATCTTGGACAAGCTAGCAGTAGCTAGCTGTCTTCTTGTGCATGCTAAAACAAAGGAATTGAAACTCGCTCCAACCGATAAATCGAGACAAGATCAGCAAGGAGATAGAAGAATGCTATGCTGGCATCCATGCATGCATGACTGAAAGTCTGAAACTGAACAAAAAAAAAGGGATAAACTTTGCATGGATTACCTGGTAAGGTTCTCTTCTTCTTCGCTGGTGGCGCCGCCACGGCCGCTTGACCGGCCGCCGACCCTGCCGCAGAAGCCGCCGCCGCGGCGTTGGATGGCGCCATAGGTGGCTGGTGGTGGTGGTGTTGCTGCTGCTGGGCAAATAGCGGCTTAATCTGGTCCTCATGGTCGCCATCCCTAATTCCAAACAACGCCGCCACAGCTGCCGCTGATGAGTTGGATGCCATGGCCGCTCTCAGATTTAATTACCCTCGAGCGAAGCTAGCTACTCAAGAACAGAAGGGAATCTTTTCCCTTCTTGTAGAGCTTTGGCTTGGGCTAGTAGCAGCTTTCTTTTCTTGATTTCCCGTCACTGCAAGAAGCTGTAGTGTCCGAGTGAGACATGGCGATAACAAACTCAAGCAAGAACAACCAAGATTGACACTACACATCATGCAAGCACACAAAGATGAGAAGATGTCAGAAAGTTCTCTAGCAAAAGGAGGATGGGGATAAAACCAAAAGAAAAGAGCAGAAAGGAGAAACAGAAAGGGATGAGAATACCTCTCAATACTTATGTAAGTATCTGCTTGGAATCGATCTGAAACAACAACAAAGGAATCGACAAGAAGCTGGGGAAAAACTCCAAAGGGTTAGGGCTCGTCCGAGATGAACAAAAGAACAAAGTGCGCAGGGAAATCCAAACAAACAGTTACACTCAGAAACAAAGGAAAAGAAGAAAAAAAAAGCTCGCAAACACCCAAACCCAAGACGTATATAAACTAAAGAACCAAAGCAAAAACAAGAGCTTTGCTTAGCTTCTTCTCCATACCTCTCCCCTCCTCTGTGCCTGTCGTCTCTAGAGCTGCATGCTGCTAATACTCTTCCAGCTGCTTGCTCTTGCCTGCTAGTCCTGGTCTACTAGGGAACTCATGGCAAGGGAGAAGAAGCTAGTGGAGAGGAGGAGGCTAAGAAGGTTGTTGTCTGATTTCTTTCATCTCCTTGTCATACTTTTCTCTCTCCCCCTTTTGCTTCCTTCTTTCCACACTCTACTATATGCTCTCTCCTCTCTGCTACTATATATTTTTAAACAGCCTTTTTACCTTAGGTTTATTCAGGGGACAAGTCGATTTAATTTATTTACCCCTTTTCCGATGCCTACGCATACGTATCTATCAGGGTTCACATGTACAGAAATGTACAGTCTGATGTACAGAGTGAGACAAGTGAGGGTCGTAGTAGAATTATAGAAAAGAGGAGTGTATAACTCCGGTAGAGTTGATGGGGGAGAAATGCTCACGCAGGCGAGAGCGGCCGGTGTCGTCAAGCGGCTGTGGATTGGGTCCACAGACTGCGGGGGCTTACCGCATCCATCTCTCCCTCGCCGATCAGCGGCGCATGTGTATATGTGCTGTGTGCACTGTGAGCACACGAGATACCATTCACATAAGCCGACTTACTTTTGGATTGGGACAAGAAAATTTTCGCTATTGTGACCTACAGTGCTACAGCCTGCAAGCATAAGTACGAGGGCATTTCTAATTAAGCTACTCAGGGAGGCAGGAGCAGTGACTGATACAGAAATAAATAGCAGTGGGATCTGAATAAACTAGATAGAGTTATAGCCCTCCTTCTAACTATATATGGTAAAAAAATTTAGTGGTATCTTCGTGGGGGCTCTCATAATCTTCATGCAAGTAGTGAGGGCTCGAGACCCCGCTGCCCCTATGCTGGATCCGCCCCTGGCTAGGAGGTGGCGAGAAGGCATTATGTTTCTCATGTTTTTTTAATTAGCTGTTGATGAGAAAATATAAGCAGATTGATGATGGCTGTTCGATCCCAATCAAACGGCTTACTTACTATGCTTCGTTTTTTTCTTAAGGAAAACATTGTAGGAGAAATCCATACGGTAAATAAATTATATTAAAAATAGGGAAAAATTACCATGCTTCTTCATCCCTCTAACCATTGGAGGGGAAGGATATGCTTACCAGTGACAATGGTGTGGCTTCTCTGATGAGCGCTCCTCACAACAGTGGTGAGTTCACCGCTTGGCAAACACTACAAGAATCCGAAATTTTCTTGGCGGCCACCTGATTTTTTTTGCGGTTAAACCGCCAAGTTTAATCGCGGTTATGGAGAGAGATAATAGTAAGTTCACAATAAATCTTTGGCACAGTTAGATTTGTCCGGGCTCTAGAAAGTTTTGGTTCCGCCAATGCTTTAAAAGATCCCTTATTGCAAATAGCTACGAAGTGGTAGCACAACATTAAATTAGTGTTCTAGATGTGTAAAAGGGAGGAAGGACGGGCTTTAGATACAAGAGGCTTTGTTTGTCACCATCTTGGCAGCATAAAAGAAGAGGATGTATATATGTTTCGTGACGTAGGTAGGAAAGTTAAATGGTGCGAGGATGTGAATGATGACGCTTATTTCCTAAAAAATGATGGAGATTAGGAAGGTGCAATGTGACGAAAGGCTCGATCGACAAAGATGATCAAGCATAGAGGGGAACGGGCCGGAGAGGCAGATTGCATGGAGGGGTTTGAGGTAGATGGAAGTGAAAGTGAGGAAGGTGATGTTTCAAAGGCGTCAACTGGTGGCCCAACATTAGCAAGGCAGACGGAGTGCACGTTGGGAAAAAAATGTAAAGAGATTATGTTGTGTACAAATATAAAAAGATTTTGGAGGTTGTACTTAATGTCAGGTAGGTGAGGAAGACTACTAAAATTAAGAACACTTCTCAACGCAATATAAATAGTTCCTATACGACCAACACAACTAGGTCGACAATCCATATATATGTTTTTCTATCTCCACAAAAGATAACAAACACAATAGTAGAGGCACACCTCATAGGTAGGTGGGAGGCCACCCGATCGAACTAAATACTTAGGTAGCATATATCATGGTCCACCGCTGAAATAATTTACCTTGAACATAATCATTATTCAGTAGAATCTACTTGTTGCCTTATTTTTTAGTGCTCTTGGCTCTGTTAGTGCTACTGCGAGATAATAGTAGAAAAAAATGTTTCAAGCATAAATATTTACTAATAGCTTATATCAAAACTTGACTTATACTATATGCCAACGTATGTTATTTCTTTATTTGTGTTTGTGCAATTGTGCATGTGTTGCGGCGTGTACACACTAGCTTGTACGTATAAACAAATCAAGCAAGGGAAAAATTCTTGTGCATATATATATGCTGAGTTCACTGTTTGACTAAGGTCCACCCGCACATACGCACGTACGATTGTCACCTTTGTAGGTGCTGTATATATGCGCACGAGCCATATATAGATGCATGCCTCAGCCTACGTACGTACGTGCGCAGATTGGTACAAGAAATAATAAATGCTCGACCGACGATCGATCAAACAGGAGACCGGATGGAGTTCTCAACCGTCAAATTAATGGCACGCGTACCGCACGTAACCATGGATTCTTCCTGCTTGCTCGCTAGCTATCTACGCCTGCCGCGCCGCCGTCGTCGCGTATGGCGTCACGCATCACGGCCTTCGATTCAACTCAACCCTTTGAAAAAAAACCTTGTGTCGTTTTACGGGAGTAGTATATATCGTCGGCAATGATGGACAATTAGACATGGGCCGGCCGGCTGTAATCCGGATCAAGGGCCACGTACGTGTGCATATATTAATCCAATTTAACGGTGACCTTAATTTCAAGAGCATTATAGAATTAGTACATGGCATTGTTATACAGGAAATAATCTAGTGATGTTGTTTTCCATAGTCAATTATTGCCTTGGGGGCCTTCTTACTTTGACGCGGTTCTCTCGTAGATATTTCGTGTGTGCGTGAACTGAACACGAGTACTGGCGGTTCACGTGCGATCATTCCTCTCGATCGGTGAGGCATGATGGTTGCGGACATCACTGAAAAATCATTTTTGCAAGTAGACAAAGCTAATTTTCGCAGGCGGGAGAGAGGTCCGCCTGCACCATAACGACTGCGAAAATCATTCATCTTTGCAGTCGGGGCAACGGCCCGCCTGCGAAAATAGAAGAAACGAAAAAAAAAAACGCCAGCCCGCACCGGGAGCCGCCGCCGCCGCTCCACGCTGTCGGCGCCGCCACCGGCCTCCCCCCTCCCTCCTCCGGCCAGATCTGGGAGGGAGGGGGGCAGGGGAGCCGCCGCCGCCGCCTAGCCTGCGCCGTCGCCGCTCCACGCCGTCGGCGCCGCCGCCGGCCTCCTCCCTCCCTCCTCCGGTCAGATCTGGGAGGGAGCGGGGGAGGGGAGCCGCCGCCGCCGCCGCCCGGCCCGCGCCATCGTCGCCGCCGCCTGCCTCCCCCCTCCCTCCTCCGGCCAGATTTGGGAGGGAGGGGGGAGGGGAGCCGCCGCCGCTACCTAGCCCACGCCGTCGCCGCTCCACGCCGTCGGCGCCGCCGCCGGCCACCTCGGCCGCGCCGCCTCGCCTCCTCGCCGCTGCCGCCCTTCGCCGCCACCGACCGCCGCCGCCGCCGGGAGCCGCCGCCGGGGAGAGTAGAAGTGAGGGGAGGGGAGAGGAGGAGAGGGGAGGGGAGGGGCCGGTGGTGAGGAGAGGTGTGGAGGGGAGGACTGAGGACTTAGAAAAAATTGCCGCCCGCGTGTATTTATATTAAGTCTATTTTCGCAGGCGGACCACTTAAGCGGCGCTTGCGAAAATGATTTTCGCAGTCGCCCCTTCGCCGCCACCGACCGCCGCCGCCGCCGGGAGCCGCCGCCAGGGAGAGTAGAAGTGAGGGGAGGGGAGAGGAGGAGAGGGGAGGGGAGGGGCCAGTGGTGAGGAGAGGTGTGGAGGGGAGGACTGAGGACTTAGAAAAAATTGCCGCCCGCGTGTATTTATATTAAGTCTATTTTCGCAGGCGGACCACTTAAGCGGTGCCTGCGAAAATGATTTTTGCAGTCGCCCCTTAAGTGCTCCCCCTGCGAAAATGATTTTCGCAGGCGCCGCTTAAGTGGACATCAAATTTCACCCCGATTTATATTTTCGTAGGCGGTCATTTGGCTCTAAGGGTCATATCCGCCTGCGAAAATGAGACCTCCACGTCGGGAAAAATGATTTTTCTAGTAGTGTACACAGCGAAGAAACCATTTTATTTTTTTGTTTGTTTATATGACAACTAAAAGATCTCTTTACAAATTACTCAGCGATTATTTACATCCACGCTTAATGTTCAGCGCGTGATTATTTTCTTTGCAGGGAAAAAAACAACGATTAATTTCGGACTAATCTTTCCATATATATATATATATATATATATATATATATATATATATATATATATATATATATATTCACGAATCATGCATGGGTGTGGATTTAATTTGCGATGATGTCTAACACATTTTCTTAATTAGTTGGAGTTTGATTCGTTGCATGTAGTTACATAGATCACATCATGCATAAAATGCTAGAACCCACACTACTAGCTAGAGAACATCCTATAGGTGCCAATTGGAAAACCCATATTGATGTCGGTTTCTCAACCGGCATCCCCAAGGTGGCACTTATGAGGAGAAATGATAGGTGCCTGTTTAGGAACGACACATCACGCAAACAAGGTCTCACGAATAAAAAAAAATGGCTCGATGGATGCGTCGGTTCGATTTGAGCTGATGCATCGCGCAACTCCCTATCATCCCAACAACATCCCATCCAAGAACATATTCATCAACATCCACACACCACCAATCCACCACTCAATAACAACAACATATATAGAGACCCCGATATTGAGAGATATTCAAGAACATCAAAGCACAAAATTACAGAATCTAACATGCATAGATTAACATCGAGGAAAAAAGATCTTCAAGGAAGAGAACAACGCCACCACTGACGCCGCTCGCCACCATACTGTGCCGAGCTCATGGCGGCCGTACCTGGAAGGCCCCGAGAGGGGGGCGGGAGGGAGGCAGAGCGCGACCGGGAGCGACAACACGCGCGAGCTCCTGATCCCATCAAGCTGTAGTGGGATGCCCGTCGACCGGGACCAACCGCCCCTCGACGCGGCAGAGACCGCCCCGACCGGCCACCCGCCCCTCGATGGAGGGGTGCCACCTGCCGGCCACTACCCCCGCTCGTTGCCTGGCAGTGCCCCCC